AGGGGGTGTATTAGTCCTACACAGCCAATGACATTAACCCATGATGAGCTCACTGCAGATAGTCAAGAAGCCCATATGCATGACACGACAAAGTCCAATGAAGTTGATGCTTTATACAACATCTTTGGTCAAGCTGTAAATGAGCAACGTACACGACATAAGCATGTGCCTAGTATGTGCCTGGTACGAGTACAGCGATCTCATTTCCAGCTCATTAATTTGTCACTAGTAAAAGTTTCAATGTTCTCCAATCATGTGTTAGAACACACTAGAGATAAGGATGACATCTTCTTGTATAAATAGCTGTGACGTTGTATCTTTACTGTCAAGTTAAAAGTCAATAAAAAATCAGTTAAATATTTTCTTCTTTAGGATCTTGCGTTTCTCAAAACAGTTGTCCTCAGATATGAAGAATTCAGTTTCAATTTGTGCTTTGTTGATATGTCTAAAATTTTGTATAATAAACTCGCTATTAGCAAGTAGCTGATGCTTATCTTGATTTGATATGGAAGTTTGTTGGCGTTAGGTTGTCGATATAGAATACTCTTATATAATATTTCATGTTTTGTAGTTTTAGTATAATCCATAAATATATATTTCCAGTCTCTAATAATAAAATCTTTCTCCACATCTCTTATAACCTGTTTGCTGGTAATTTGTATGTGTTAGTGATGAAAACATTGTAAACGATAAAAAAAATGAAACAAGCTTGTATTAGCTATGGAATGGGTATGTGGAAAGTTTGTTTATTGGTAGCTTCAATATTTGAAAACTTGTGATGTTATCTTGGAAGTTGTGATGTTGTTGTATATGAAACGTCTAAGGGTGTGAATGGTGACCAAGGAAATGAAGAGGAACACTTCATTACTTAACATTCCTTAAAAAATTCACCATTCATGAGGAATATATTGTTTTTCCCATTCCTCCTCATTCCTTTGGTTATAGAGAATTATACAACAACTTCATTCCTTATTGATTTTGATAAGGAATTATTATTCCTCTTCCTTCCTAAAATTTTATTCCTATTCATTCCTTTCGTGTCCATTCCTATCCATTCCTGCTGTTCATATTATGGTTACCAGTCACACCCTAAGTCTTAAAATTTTGATCCTTCTTCTGATTTTCAGACTCTCCATTATATCCTAACTAGATTTTGATCCGCCATTTTCAAGGGCGAAATTATGTTATAAATTTGTTTTAATAATTTTTTTATTTGTTTTAATTTTTTTTTATTATATTTGTAGTTTAATCTCTTTTTTTTTATCTTCTTTATGATAAACATGATACACTTTAATTGTTTTTAAAATATAACATGTTTAGTTTGTTACAACCATACAAAATGAAAATTATTTTTATAATTTTTAATGTCTACTATATACTTTTGTATTTTTTTATTTATAGTAAATATATATTATATCTAATATATCACTTTTTCAAATTTCTAACCCGTTCATTTACAAATTTCACTTTTTATTTGATGTATTATATTTTAAATGAAATTAGATATATGTTTGTTTGGTTTAAGATTTTTTTTTTTTAATTTGTGTGTTTGGTATAGATGAAAATAGTTATATTTTATATCACTATATTTATAATAACTATGATATATATAAGATATTAGATACTTTTAATTTCAAAGTTACAACCCCTTATGTTATTTGTCATCATAATTTTCACCTAAATATGATAGTCTATGAAATATTGGTATGCGTAGACATAGGTTAAAATGTAGATACAAAAATAATTTTGGAATAATATCCCTGGTAAATATAAAACTTAAATACAAATGATATATTAGATTTTACTTACTTTCTTTATTTGGGTGAAAATCTTGGTGAGTATTTGTTATTTACTACATTTAAGATATTATGTAAATTTGATAAACCGAAATAATGAAAGAGCGTATCAATATATTTATTTAGAAATGAAAATGTATATCTTATATATTAAAATAGAAGTTATGACTTGACTTCATGTGTGATTTTTTTTTTAAAAATATACTATTACTAGAAAGTTATTTTACATTAACTCTCTAATAATCTTATCATCATTATATCTTATGAAAAATCATATCTATAATAACAAAGATACGCTTAACAATTTGGTTTTGGTAAACTACCCCACACCTTCCAACTTAGTCACATAAAATATGTCAATAGATATAAGTTTAGGAAAATCACAGATTAGTAATATGAAATATTTATATACCCTATTTACACGCTATATATACTAGATAAATTTATTTCGATGTAATTTTTTAAAATTATATTGTTTTAAAAAAAATAATTTTTTTTAAAAAATTCCTTTTTAATAAAATTCTTTATAATATTAATTTATGAAGCTATAATTTAGTTTTTAGCAAAAATTTCTTCGAAGTTTATATTATCTTTGCAAATTAAAGTATACTAATATTTAATCAAGCTCTATTTATATTACTTTATCTAAAAATGAAATACTAATCTAACAAACAATAAAATATAGAAAAAGAAACCAACACATGTTTGGAAAATATGTATAATATAGAAAATTTGAAAAAATCTATTTGATCAAAACACGTATTATATAATATTATTATGTTTGAAAAACATTTATTATACATATCGTAAATATATGATTAATATAATATATACCAATTTACAAGTGAAAACAAAATATTTATATAACTAACTATAAACGAAAACAAATATCCATGCGGTTGCGCGGGTCAAAATCTAGTAGTAATTAAATGTGATATGCGTCACAACTTTTTAGTCCTTTGTATATAAACAACACTCCAAATGACATGCAAAAGAGAACAAAACACGTAATGTTATATTATGTCAAGATATTAGTGATTTGTTCAGAAAATATTTAATTTAGATTAATTGTTAAGATACTGTATATAGAATCTTACCATAAGATTAGGGAGTTTAGTTTAATTTGATTATATTGGTTATCATATCATCAAATTGTATATGCAACACATTTTTATATTTGTTCACAACATGTTCAATAAGTCTAAACTTAAAATATGCCAAAGTAAATTTTAATTAGGATTCTAAATTAATAGTTTAGATGATGGACTCAACCATTTCACTATCTTCGGGATCATGCGCACTACTCGCAACTCACTCAGCTTTGGGATTGATACCTTGCTCCCTTTGATCTCTTTGGTCTGCCATTCGCTGAACCCAATTCTTTTAATCGGATTTTATTAAATTTCAGATGATATTGTTGGCGACTTTTATCATCATATCTATTATCTAGTCACGTTTTATTGTTGGGTGCAAGTTATATAGTATTCGTAAATTGCAGTCTTACCCACACTATCTGTGTAATGCAAATCAGTTTGCGTGTTATAATATGATCCCCACGTTGTCCCTCAATGCCAGACATATTCGACGCTTCCTCCACGTATCCACGATCAATATACAAAATACAAATATACCAAATGGATTTAAAACAAAGAGACCTCTATCTATTATATCACTACGTATATTTTATTTTGCATTAATTATACTATAATGAAACGATATTCATGAACCATGACCAAATAGCATTTTTATACTATAAGCTTGTTATTGTGTAATGTAACGAAAACCCATGAGCATCGTATCCCTTATATATTAATCCTGAAGCATTCATAAATGCACAACCTTGGAGAGCATGCTTACGTGTCAAGCTCACAGAGCTTCTCAGCTTTAATTTTTTAAAGGACCAACTTTGCTAGAATGAAATAATGTAACATTTAATTTCTTGCATTTAGGACTATAATATATAGACATTTTTTAAGGAACCAACTCTGCTAGGTATAAAACAATATATTTTATTTCCTTAAATAAAAGCTACGGAATTACCTAATATGATTAACATATATATATAATTAGTGATTATGAATAATACATATTTTTTTACCCTCTCTCTTTTTTGTTTAATTTTAAATTATTAAAATAAATTAAAGAAAAACATTTAAATATATAATAAAAAAATTAAATTTTTTCTTATAGGTTATATTTTTATTTTTTTTTAAACGACCGTAAATAACTAAAAATAGTAAAATCCCACATTGAAAATTTTATGATCAATGGTTTAACTTTTTTTTTCAAAGAAGATACAAATTATCATAAATCGTACGAATATGAAGTATCATTAGTAGATATTCATACTATAAATATGTTAGTTTAAAAATTTCAGTGAAAATGTTTGAGGTTAGTAGATACAAATTATAGTATTCAATAGATTTTTGTAGTTTGTTTTATTTGCTTCTTTTTTTTAATATCTTTTAGTATGTTTAGATAATTTAACTAATTTTAAATTAGATTTATTAATAGTTTAAATATTTTGATTTTTTTTGTCAACTTTTAATGTTTAACAAATATTTTTTGGGATGATTTCAGATATTGGTTACAATCCAATCCAAACTGAATTGAGAAGATCAAATCGAATCGAATCCGATAATTAGTAAAATTCAAATAGGATTTATGAGAATAATACCAAAATCTGAAAATACGTGTCAATCAAACTAAGACCAACGAAGTCTCAAACGTCCAGACCTATAATGATTTAAGATACCAACATTTGTATTCATCATTTTATAATCGATATATATTGCAGTATTGTAAAATGTTAAAAACCATTTAATGAATAAATATTCGTATGAAAATTTCACCCCGCGCATGCGCGCGGGTTATCATCTAGTATATATTATTTTGTGGATATGAATAATTGACTATTAGTGTTTTGCCAATATTGTATCTGATGATGGACATTATATTATCTTAAGGTATTATAAACATTCCTTCGCTGTTCACATACGTCCCCCCCCCCCCCCCCTAAACTCTTTATATATGTATCTCAAGCTTTAACCCGTGAGAGACACACACACATGCACACAGAAGAAAAACAAAGAACGAACCATGTCTTTATCAATTTCCTCTTNCCCCCCCCCCCCCCCCTAAACTCTTTATATATGTATCTCAAGCTTTAACCCGTGAGAGACACACACACATGCACACAGAAGAAAAACAAAGAACGAACCATGTCTTTATCAATTTCCTCTTCTTTTATCCTCTTCTTGTTGTTCGTCATCACACCATATGTCCAAAGCCAACCCATTGCTCCAGCTCCGACAAATGAAGCAAGTCCAGTCAATCTCACGGCGGTTCTTGAAACTGGTCACCAGTTTACTACATTCATGCGACTCCTCAACACAACTCAAGTAGGGTTTCAGGTAAGTGTTCAACTCAATAGCTCTGATCAAGGGATGACTATATTTGCTCCAACAGACAACGCATTTAACAACCTTAAACCCGGAACCTTAAACAGTCTCACATACCAACAACAAATCCAGCTCATTCTCTACCATATCATTCCCAAATATTACTCTCTAAGCGATCTTCTCTTAGCAAGTAACCCCGTTAGAACTCAGGCTACGGGACAAGATGGAGGAGTTTTTGGGTTGAATTTCACAGGACAAGGTCAAATCAATCAAGCGAATGTTTCTACAGGTGTTGTTGAGACAAGGATCAGTAACATATTAAGACAAAAGTTTCCACTAGCAGTTTATGTAGTGGACATGGTACTGTTGCCGGAAGAGTTGTTCGGAAACAAGACTGCTCCCACTGGAGCTCCGGCCCCTAAGACCTCGCGTTCTTCTGATGCAGATTCGCCGGCTGCTGATGGAGACCACAACAATTCTGCTGGATCAAGCGTCAAGGGGACAAGTCTAGGGTTTGTTCTTGGCTTTGCATGGTTTTGTTGCTCGGTTGTATCGTACCTTTCTTGAAACTATACTAAAAGCGGGAAAAGTTACGAATAATTCTTTTTTTTTTTAAAAAAAAATTGCGTGATTGATTCATTTGTGTTTTCGAATATCTGATTTGTAATCTTCCATTTATTTCTTAAGAAAATATGGTTCTTGCATTTTAAACTTGTACCTGCTGAAGTGGAAAGTCGACTTGGGCTTTGTTCTTGGGCCGCAGAAGTGTGGTATTCAGGTTGGGCCTCGGAGATTAATGAAGCAGCCCAAATGAGTTTACCAGTTTACTATAAGAAGAGCGACGAGAAACAGAGAATCATTATCTCTGTAACTAACTTTGTCTTCTTCTACGTTTTATCTTTCTTGAAGAACGGTGATTCCNAAGGAGATGTACCCGGTGGTTGAAGCGGGGAACTCTAAAACGTTGTGTGTGTTGTTCGTTTAGCTTTTCTTCTCTCTTTAACATTCTTGAGTGAAACGGAGTCGCGATCTGATTCAAACGAGAGACGAGAGAGTTAGTGAGCTAGTGTTCGCATAACGTGAGATCAATACAAGCGTGTATTGAGTCGGATTCTTCTACAAGTGGTATCAGAGCTTCGTTGGAAGCGAAAGAAGAATTCAAGATCCAGGACGGGAAATTGATAGAGTTTACTACGCTCTATCAAGGCAGTTTCATCACACTGGGTTGATCATCCAAGATCAACGAAGGCACAAGGAAGTTTACTTCTATCTCTCTGTCGATCAAGTTTTCTTGAAACTTTACTGTGTAGAGATCGTTCGATTTGCTGTGGTTGTGTACTTTTGTTATCTGCAGGTATCAAGACTAAACGGGACGCACAAATTGAAGAATGAATCCTACACGAGGAAAGTTCGAGATCGAGAAGTTCGATGGAAAGGGAGACTTCGGACTTTGGAAGTTTAAGATGATGGCTCAGCTAGAGATTCAGGGTCTTCTATCAGCACTTAGTGAAGACGACGAATCGGAGCAAGATACAGCAAAAGCAGAGGAGGAAGAAGAGTCTGGGAAACAAGTTGAAGGCTCAGGAATCAAGAAAGAGTTAAAGAAAGCTGAGAAGGATCTAAGGGTCAGGAGTCTGCTCAACATATGCCTAAGTGATGTCATTCTAAGGAAGATCATGAATGAGACTACAGCTCTCGGGATGTGGAGAGCATTGGAAAGAGACTATCAAACAAAGTCACTTCCGAACCGTATCTACCTCAAGAAGAAATTCTCTTGCTTCAAGATGGAAGAAGAGAAGTCTATGGAGGAGAACTTTGATCATTTTCTGAAGTTGGTTGCGGATCTTGCAAGCATAAAGATAGACATCACGGATGAAGACCAGGCCATACAGCTGTTGTCTGGATTACCATCAGCTTATGAGCCACTCGTTCACACACTGCAATACGGCACTGGGAAGGATACTTTAATTGTGAACGAAGTAATGACCGCAGCGTACTCAAAGGAGGTGGAGCTAAAGCAGAAGGGTCTTAATATCAGAGGAAAACAATCTGAAGGATTGTACACGGAATCCAGAGGTAGAACAACCAGCAGAAACGACTCAGGAAACAACAAGCAGTACAACAGCAGGCCAAAGAATAAGTTCAGGTCAAAGTCAAGAGGGAAGTATGGCGTGAAACAGGATAAAACCTGTTGGATATGTGGTGGTGACGATCACTGGAAACGTGATTGTCCAGAGAGAAAGCAAAATGCTTCACATCATAAACCTGGAAGCTCAGCAAACGTAGTTTCTAAACTACCAGGTCCAGTTTCTCTAACCGCAAGCTTAATCACGTCAGAAGAAGAATGGGTATTAGACTCAGGGTGTACTTTTCATATTACACCGAGAAAAGATTTGTTGACTGACTTGGTGGAGTTTGAAGGAAACAAGGTTATGATGGGAAATAACACTTTCTGTATGGTTCGAGGAATGGGAAAAATCACCATAGAGAATGAAGATGGTTCGACTGTGATATTGAACAATGTTCGATATATGCCAGAAATGGGAAGGAGCTTGATCTCTTATGGTCAGTTGGAACAGTCAGGTTGCCACTACAAGGGACAAGGCTATATTGTTCACTTCTACAAGGATGGTAGAAAGGTCCTAACAGGAAAATACAACAATGGTCCCTATTATCTACAAGGCTCGGTTAGAAGGCCAGAGGCAAACTCTGCAACAAGCAAAGCTGATCTTACCAAGACTTGGCACACAAGACTTGCTCACATGAACTATCGTTCAATGCAAGCACTTGTGAGAGGAGGATACATCAAGAAGGATGAAGTAGGGGAACTGGAGTTTTGCGAAGGCTGTGCAATGGGAAAGGCGCATAAGCAGAAATTCCCAAGGGCTAAACACACGACAAAGGGAGTTCTCGACTACATTCACACTGACCTATGGGGATCACCCAACACAGTGTCAAGCTTATCAGGGGCTAAATATTTCTTAACCCTTACAGATGATTACTCTAAGAAGGTATGGATACATTTTCTATAAACTAAGACTGAAGTGTTTGATTGTTTTGCAGGGTGGAAATTGCTTGTAGAAAATCAAACAGGAAGAAAGATCAAGTGTCTAAGATCAGACAATGGATTGGAGTTTTGTAATCAGAGAATGGATCAGTTGTGCAGGGATTCGGGAGTAAAGAGGCACAAGACATGTCCCTACACACCCCAACAGAATGGCACCTCCGAGAGAATGAATAGGACCATCATGGACAAGGTCAGGTCAATGCTAAATGAATCAGGGCTTGATGAGAGCTACTGGGCAGAAGCAGCGTCTACAGCCGTGTATGTGATAAACCGTTCACCAAATGCTTCTATACGGTTTGAGATACCAGAAGAACGGTGGACAGGTCACAGAACTGACTACAGTCACCTAAGGAGCTTTGGTTGCATTGCGTACGTACATCAAGTAAAGGAGAAGACAAACTCGAGAGCTGCTAAGGGCATTTTTCTAGGATATGCAGAGGATGCAAAAGGATACAGGGTTTGGTTATTAGAAGATCAGAAATTAGCTATAAGCAAGGATGTTGTTTTCAACGAAAAACAGATGTACAAGGATCTCCAAACGAAGCAAGACGGCTCAGAGACAGAACAGGAAATAAAATCTTCAAAGAAGAAGGTTACGTTTAGGAGTAATCTTGAAGATGTCTGTGATGAGGGGAGTTCAAATCCAGGTGGAGTAATTGACATAGAACAAGATCAAGGACGAGCTCAACAGTCAGAGATTGGTAAAGAGGCAGTCATAGAAACTCCAGAGGAAGAAGAACAGATAGAGGATTTGGGAAACTACTTACTTGCCAGAGACAGGGTTAGGAGGACTATTAGACCCCCATCCAAGTTCGAAGATGGTGATTTCTTAGCTTATGCTTTGGCTACCTCAGAAGATATCGAGATTGATGAACCTAAGAGTTATAGAGAGGCTATGAATGGCAAGTATAAGGAACGATGGAGAGAAGCTTCAGATGAAGAAATGGAATCGTTGGAGAAGAACCACACCTGGGACTACACAGAGAGACCTAGAGGTCACAAGGTGATAGGGTGTAGATGGATCTATAAACTCAAACCGGGTCTACCAGGAGTAGAGCCACCAAGATATAAAGGAAGACTCGTGGCAAAGGGATACGCTCAGGTAGAAGGGGTAGATTACAATGAAGTGTTTGCTCCGGTGGTGAAGCACGTTTCCATAAGGTTACTTCTGTCAGCAGTTGCTCACTTTGATCTAGAGTTAGAACAGCTGGACGTCAAGACCGCATTTCTCCATGGAGTTCTTAAGGAGAGAGTTTATATGGAACAGCCTGAAGGGTACTTGAAGAAAGGAAAGGAAGATATGGTTTGTTTACTGAGAAAGTCTTTATACGGGTTAAAGCAATCCCCACGAGAGTGGAATCACAGGTTTCACACGTTTATGGTGGAACAGAAGTTCAAGAGAAGTGAATATGATCCGTGTGTTTATCTAAAGGGATCAGGGATGGAAGATATCATATATCTGCTTCTATATGTAGACGATATGTTGATATCAGCACGAGACATGACTACTGTGCAGAAACTCAAGGATCAACTAAGCAACGAGTTTGAGATGAAGGATCTAGGCTCGGCAAGGAGAATGCTAGGAATGGATATATTCAGGGACAGATCTAAGAAGACACTAGTCTTATCTCAGAAGGATTATCTAAGCAAAGTCTTAAAGACTTTTGGAATGTTAGATTGCAGAGCTGTTACTACACCGTTGGGATCACAGTTTAAACTACAGAGTCTATCAGAGTTAGAGGAGAAGCAGCAGGCTAAGGAGATGGAGAACATACCGTATACAAGCGCAGTAGGCAGCTTGATGTACGCTATGGTGGGTTCAAGACCTGACTTGGCCTACGCAGTTGGTCTAGTATGTCGTTTCATGAGCAAACCTGGAACAGAACATTGGTTAGCTGTGAAATGGATATTAAGGTACTTAAAGGGAGCTTTGGGAGTAAGCTTAACTTTCAGAAGAGGTGATGACTTTAATATCCGGGGTTACTGTGACTCCGATTACGCATCAGACTTGGACAAGAGCAGGTCCATCTCCGGTTATGTGTTCACTGTGGGTGGCAATACTGTAAGCTGGAGGTCGTCACTGCAAAAGGTAGTAGCACTTTCAACTACGGAAGCTGAGTACATGTCGTTGTCTGACTCAGTTAAAGAAGGTTTGTGGCTAAAGGGGATTTGTGAGGAGTTGAAGCTGTGTAGAGGTATAGTGGAGGTTTATTGCGACTCCCAAAGTGCAATTTATCTGGCCAAGAACTTCGTCTACAGAGAGAAAACTAAGCACATCGCCACCAAGTATAATTTCATTCGCGAAGTCATTGCAGATGGAGTTGTCAAGGTCACGAAGATTCACACATCAGTTAATCCTGCTGATATGTTAACGAAACCGTTGCCAGGTGATAAGTTTGGTGGATGCCTAGTGAAGCTGGGTGTCTTGGAAGCTTAGTTTCTTGAGCTGTTTGCTGTCACTTTTGGAACTGAGAAGGTGACAGGTCTATTTATCAGTCTCGGAAGTCAGAGAGACACGGAAGGTTTTACAGTCGTATGTTAGAGGTTGTAGTCGGGTTCGAAGTGAGGACAAAAGAACCCGGAGGAAGACCAGGACGGTGGAGCAGGCGGTTGCTCCGGAGGTTAATCGGCGAGCTTGGTCGTCGTCTTTCCAAGGTGGAGATTGTGAAGTGGAAAGTCGACTTGGGCTTTGTTCTTGGGCCGCAGAAGTGTGGTATTCAGGTTGGGCCTCGGAGATTAATGAAGCAGCCCAAATGAGTTTACCAGTTTACTATAAGAAGAGCGACGAGAAACAGAGAATCATTATCTCTGTAACTAACTTTGTCTTCTTCTACGTTTTATCTTTCTTGAAGAACGGTGATTCCNAAGGAGATGTACCCGGTGGTTGAAGCGGGGAACTCTAAAACGTTGTGTGTGTTGTTCGTTTAGCTTTTCTTCTCTCTTTAACATTCTTGAGTGAAACGGAGTCGCGATCTGATTCAAACGAGAGACGAGAGAGTTAGTGAGCTAGTGTTCGCATAACGTGAGATCAATACAAGCGTGTATTGAGTCGGATTCTTCTACACCTGCATAAACAAATGTTTCTTTTTAGAATGCAGCTTGCTAATTCTAGGTGTAAAATGTTAATGATTTGTATTAGATGTCTACAAGGGCAAAACAAATTCATTATGTGATTGTTTTTAGAAAACGGTTATGTAAAATATGTTATTAAAAATTATATGCCAAAGTCTATGAACCATTGTCTAGAGCTAGCTCATTGCAGTCCTGCACGAGAACAACTTGCACAAGAGAGGACAAAACAAGCAAAAAGCAAAACGAATGGCTGCCATCTCTGAGTACATATGGCTCTTAAACCGTTTCGGCCGACATCTGTTCAATATTGCAGTTACGTTGTTTTCTGCAAATCAGGACCTGATTAGAAACAACAGTGTAGTCATTGTTTGAAGCTGTTTCCATTAATAGAGAAAGTATCAACCATTTATTAGGAGTAACCAATCCTATGTATGTTATAGATCGACCAAAAAGCACACAATAGTACAGAATCACAAGTCTCTCTGATCTATGTTAGCCGATGGTTACATCGGTTTATGGTTACGAGACGGGTGAGACACCTGGATTATCCGACGGATGAAGGTAGTACGGTGACGTTGTATCAATGTTACTGCTACTTGCAGATTTCACGATTTCTTTAGACATGATTTTTTTTTCTCAACGTTTCTTCCGATGGATCTTTTTTAGAGAGGCTCTGATACCATGTTAACTTTGGGTTTATTATGAGCTTCCAACTTAAAACCAATTGGTGATAAGTGGATTGGTCCTAACCCTTTATATATTATTTAATTACTTCTTCAACTACCGATGTGGGACTTAGTTTCATTCATTAACAATCTACGTCAACCAGAAACTTCAATCTTCTTCCTCACCCTCCTCCTCAGTTGGTTTGTATGGAATGCAGTTTGATTCTAACTCACTTTTACCCGAGAACAGTGGCGATCCGAAAAAAAGTTTTATGTGGGGTCAAAATAATTATAAAGGGTCATAGAGTGGATCCAAACCCAGATTTGTGGGTTCATTCATACTTCTCTCAACCAAATACAACACTGACAACTTATGTATTCAGCTTACAAAAACTAATTTATATAATGTTTGTGGTGTCAAATGAACCCACTCTCCCTAACGTGGGTCCGTCCCTGCCCGAGAAGCTTCTTCACTCCTGTCTTCTGCTCTGCGGTTAACCTCGTTGGAAACTTAATGTTAAACTTGATCCTCAAGTTTCCTCTCTTAGTCTGATCTTTCTGCTACGGCATTCCTTCCTTTGGAACTACTTCCTCGTACTTAGGGTGTATCACGTTAGTGATTGGGATCGTCAGCCTCCGACCATCAAGTGTCGTCAGATCCACAGTGTAGCCGGTCAACGCCTCAACAAGTGAGATCTTCTGTGTGACAATGAGGTCATTTCCCTCTCGAGTGAAAACCGTGTGAGGCTTCTCGTCAATGATGAAGACTAAATCAGCTGGAGTAACACCTGGTTGCTCATTCCCTTTCTCAGGGAATGTGATTCTTGTGCCTTTCTTCCACCCTGGCTTCACGTCAATCGTTAAAATCTCTTCTACCGGCATCGTCTTGCTGCCAATAAAAAAAAAGGACAGGTCAGCGTTTTCAAACGAGCCAACGAAGTGGGCCTAAGCCCAATCAACAAAGTGGGTCTAAGCCCAATACATACACAGAGGTCTTAAAAAGCTAAGGTCCTGTAAAATAAAAATTAATTGACATCTTAATAAATCTCCTATAGTTAGTTCTTTGGGATATTGAAAGTTTACAACATGCTTGACATAATTTCTGATTCAGGTAATATGTTACACTGATTCAAATCAATAAAGCTACGATGTTATTAAAAGAAAAAAAGAACGGCTCTGTTTGGTATGTTGAATACAGACACTTACCCGCTGACATCAGCAATCTCCCTGGAAATTCTCATCTTCTTGGTAGTTCCTTTGTAAAGATCTTCAAGGCTACAAGGCAACTTGTTTCAATAGGAGCGGCTTTCCTGGCTCCTCCACCATGATGCATAGCACCGGCTCCTCCTTGGCCGAAAGAGGAAAATAAGTTGTCACCAAACATGCTGCTTGAGAATCTTGTACCTCTCTCGCCACCACCGCCGAATGGGCTAGAGAACCCAAAGAACTCAGCGAATAAATCATCTGCGTTTCTAGGGTTGAACCGGAAGGATGTTGGGCCGTCTCCGGTAGAGAAGTAAGTGGCTCCACCAGAATCTGGAGGAGGAACACTCCCTTTCAAGCCTTCCTCGCCGTACCGGTCAGACACAGCTTTTTTTTGGGGATCGCTCAGAACCTACAAAGCATCAGTAATCTTAGATCAAATGCTCTTTGTTTAGATACTGGAAACTTGCATACTTCATTCAATGATAAACATGGCTATATATAGCCTTTACAATCAACTAGAAAAGCCTAAAACTACTGCAACAGAACATGATTACTGCTACCAGTAATTGACCGAGAAAATAGGTCTTATTGAAAACAAACTAGAAACAAACTAAGACTAACTTGTACCGCAAGACTCGTTCCACTTCTTCAACTTCTTCCTAACTTCTCGGTGTGACTGCTTCCAACAAACCCTCCCTAACCTAAATTTGGTTCACAAGTTTCAGCTTGTCTGCAACAGAGCATACTCCGAGTTTGCTCCTTAGTCCTTCGAAACTTTCCCGCTTCAATGCTTTCGTAAAGACGTCAGCTACTTGTTCTGTTGTCCCACAATGCTCCAAACTGATAATTCCCTTGTTCACTAGATCCCTCAAGAAATGAAATCTCACGCCAATGTGTTTGCATTTTCCGTGGAATACATGATTCTTAGACAGTTTGATAGTTGATGTATTGTCGCAGAGAATCACAGTGCTTCCATTCTCTTTGTATCCCAACTCTTCAAGAACTCTTTTGTACCATATCACTTGATACGCAAAGACAGATGCCGCCACGTACTCAGCTTTGGTGGTGGACAGAGTAACTATTGGCTGCTTCTTTGACAACCAAGCCACAACAGCTCCATCCATGAGAAATAAATAGCCGGATGTACTCTTCCTGCTATCAGTGTCGCATGCAAAATCACTATCAGTGTACACTGCTCACTCTCCTTTTCCTCCTCTCTTGTACCAGATACCATAATCAACCGTACCCCTTAAGTACCTCAATACTCTCTTAGCATCTTGGAGATGAAGTGTAGTGGGTTTAGACATGTAACGACTCAGTAGACTTACAGAAAATTGCAGGTCTGGTCTTGTAATCGTAATGTACATGAGACATCCAATTATTTTCTTGTAGAAAGTTGATATCACTCAAATGTTTAACCCTAAGGAGTGAATTACTCTCTCAAATAAGAGGTTCAATCGTAGTACTTAGGGATCGAATCCACAAGGAACTAGAGTCACAAAATATATAATCCTAAGTGATTAAGCTAGGTTGATTAGGTTTAAAAGCAATAAATAAAAGTTGTGAGAAATGGTAAGTTGCTCAAGAGAATAGGTTTTGGGTTTTAAAACAGTAAAAGAAAGTAGCTAGATTCAAGGTTACTATTCAGAAAATCAGGATTATAAATCTATGGATGTCTTAACGAATTGCTTGCAAATATATGAGAACTTCAATCCTTAGACAAATCTATAGCTGTCGCTAGTTATACTCGTCCATTGATCTGATTGCCGACAGTATCGATCAGTGTTGCTATTGCAGTGTCGATCGATATATGTTGTCGTCGATCGATTACTCTATAGGAGTATCGATCGATATATCATCAGATCGAATTGAAACTGTGTTCACCTGAGAATTTCTATTAGACCGCCTATCACACGTGCCTAATAGAATCTGAGCTTAGCCAAATGATTTCAGGATAATGACTATTAGATTAGTCACTCCATAATCATACCTCTAGGTAGCTAATCTAGAGTAAGCATTAGGGTTCATTTGGATAATGAATATAACAACTCAACACTCAATAGTTGGGGCTAATCCCTCATAACTATTTGAACCCTAAATCTAACAAATGAATCTACTCAGACATAGCCAAGTGATTCAT